TTGCATCTCTGAAATAAGTTATGCTTAAAATATTTTTTACATAAATATGCATATATTTAACATGACTTTCTGAGGTTGATGATCAAAAATGCTTCATATATTATATTTGACCTATGGATGTAAAGTGATGTGTCTCTCTTGTGTAAGTGTATGTTGTATAAGTGAATCTGCAGATGGATCTGCTGACACTCACGTATGGATCGTCCTCCTCACACTGTTCATTCGGAGCGCTGGGATCCGGCGTCAGCAGCAGCTGCTGGATCGAGCCCTGCACACACACACACACACACACACACACACACACACACCAGTTCAGCTCTGCTCAGAATCAGAATCACACATCAGTCTATTCTCCACAGGTTCTGATCTGATCATGAATGGTCAGCATCAGCTCTTGACCTTTGACCTCTGTGCATGTAAAGGCTGAGCTCAGTGTTTTCTCAGAGCTCTAACGAGCTGAAGTCCTGATTAACACAGGCGTGGCTGCAAACATTCTTGTGCAACACATCCAGAGGAAACGCACCTGTTTTCCATTCACTGGAGCTACAGCAAATGCTGCTGATGTGTGGGAAAAAAACTGAGAGAGAGAGAGAGAGAGAGAAAGAAAGACCAACCATAATCATCTAACTATCTATATCTATCTATCTTATTTTATTTTATGTCTGAGGTAGGTTTGCAAACTATACCTTTGTAGATGTATGAAAATAAAATATTTAAGACCATTTCTAATTAAAGTGACTTAAACCTGAAGACTGTTAGTAAAAGCAGAAGAGCTGGGGAAGCAGCTGGATTCTCTGGGTGTGTTCAGAGCCTCTGTGTTTCAGTTAGTCGCTGGAGCGACAGCAAATACTGCTGATGTGTGGGAAAAAAACTGAGAGAGAGAGAGAGAGAGAGAGAGAGAGAGAGAGAGAAAGAAAGAAAGAAAGACACCAACAAGACCAACCATAATCATATAACTATCTATCTTATTTTATGTCTGAGGTAGGTTTGCAAACTATACCTGTGTAGATGTATTGTGCAACACATCCAGAGGAAACGCACCTGTTTTCCATTCACTGGAGCTACAGCAAATGCTGCTGATGTGAGAGAGAGAGAGAGAGAGAGAGAGAGAGAGAGAGAAAGAAAGAAAGAAAGACACCAACAAGACCAACCATAATCATATAACTATCTATCTTATTTTATGTCTGAGGTAGGTTTGCAAACTATACCTTTGTAGATGTATGAAAATAAAATATTTAAGACCATTTCTAATTAAAGTGACTTAAACCTGAAGACTGTTAGTAAAAGCAGAAGAGCTGGGGAAGCAGCTGGATTCTCTGGGTGTGTTCAGAGCCTCTGTGTTTCAGTTAGTCATGTTGATTAGCCGGTGTTTCCCGCCAGACTGACTCAGCTAGCCGCTATGCTAACCGTCAGTCTGAACATCTGATTACTGCTGTGTACAGCCTCAGAAACAGGAGAGCGGAGGAAACGTTCCCATGATTATCAGCACAAAGCAGGAGGATCCAATTCCAGTGATAAGAAGAGAATCCATCGTTCTGAAAATAAGGAGTTTCTGAGTCACTGATATTTCTGTTCCAATCCAGCGTCTGCGTCACCAGCTCTTACACAACACACGGTGAAGAGGATTTCATCCAGAACGTCTGGGAAAACGTCTAACACTTTATGATCTTACAGTCTTCTCAAAGAGTGACCTTAGTTCAATGCATTGTGATTAAAATATTATTTATTATAGGGTACAACGGGGCTAAAGGCGTCTTTGATATTATTTTCATCTAAACCACTAGATGGCAGAAAAACGTGGCGTATCACTTTCCAAAACATCCGCTTTTCAAGATGCATGTGTATATTTGTCTGATCCTTGACGCGATCACGTACAACGGGGCTAAAGGCACCCCGGGGTAAAAAGGCACTCGCTGCAGTTCAAAGTTGATTCTGTGCTTACCTGATCTAATATTTTATGTTTTTAAAAATGTTGTAGATTTAAGTAGCAAAAGAGAATCTGTAAAATTAATGCATACATTTTGAGACAAAGGTCATCTTTATGATTTTCAGTTTTGTTTAAGATAATTAAAGCAACAGTTTTTAAATAACGAAAGAATATGTAAAAGTATGGTATTTGGGGTAAAAAGCACCCCTGCTGTTGGGGCTAAAGGCGCACAGTAATTAACATGATAATTAATAGATGGCTGACTTTTCCATTTGTTGACATGACATGGTTAGATTCAGATGGTAAATATCATATTATGTTGGGTGTCCATATTAGAGATAATCACCATTTTTAGAATTAAACCATCATATTTAAAAACATGATATTAATCATATCATATAATAAAATATAATTTGTTGTTACTACTGTAAATATATATTCAATTATTATGGGATCTCCTTCAATACTTTCAGAATATTTACTTATTAAAATCATTTTGTTTCTGTATTTTAAAATATATTTTTTATATTAACATATTTTAATGACAGTATATTTATTGAACAAAA